ACAGAAGCGTGAGAACACACACACACACGCACCTGGTTATTCGAAGACATATTTTTACGGACTCGAGAAGAAGCTGCGGAACAGTCTTATTAACAGATTGTGAATGTTTGCATCCGCAAGCGCAAAAAACAGCTGAACAATTTAGCGCCCGAGGGCTGAAGGTAAGGGGTAAATTTCATTTAGTTCCATTTATGCTTGGCGTCATGTTCCCCAGTGACACAATAAGACGGACACATTTTATTTTTGGCGCAGCGTGAGTGAGAAATGCTAGAAAAATGTGCGAGTTGGCAGAAATATATATCGGCGAGGGAAGAAGAAGCAGCGCCAACTCGACATGGAAGCGGCGGAATGTTGTGTCGGCATACAGTGTTGCTGCCAGCGGCTGACAAAAATGACAGCAGCAACTTCCCGCGTAGTACACATATCACACAATTGTTGCTGTTGCCGGTGATGGTTATGTGCGTCATAAAAGCGGCATAGTCGCCGACAAAAGTGCAAGGGTTATTGTAATGCGCTCGACTGTAGTTACAGCCGCAGCGGAAATTGAAAAGAAGTGCGCCGGAAAATGGCAGCAATAACTGCAGCGGCAACAAATTGTGGCGACTGCCGACTGCATGAAAACTCTCGTTAAAGTGCACACCATAATATTGTTGTTGGATTTGCAACATTTCTTGTCATTTTATTGTGTATATGTATGTGCTGTGAAGTCTGTAAATGTACGTGGCTTCACCCACTCACATGCAACCCTGTAGGAACAATGGAAACAAGGGCGAAAAAGTCTGGTGTTGATTGTGGTTTTGATTAATAGTAATAATAGAACTGTGAGAAATTCTTGCAATCAGTGAAGGCAGGTCTGGTCACACTAGTGACAAAAGCGATTCTCAGACCCATGCATTATTTGAATTCAGTGATTATACTTTAAAATTTTTTAGAGCTTCCTGTCAAAGGCCAACTAATTTAATATTCATGCTCACTTCAGCGGTCACTAATTTATTTACCGTTAAAATGATCAATGCCACATTCGCTCGACAAGAGGCAACTACACCGATTGCTCTCTCTCTCTCCACCGAAAAAGTTATTTAAGTCTCTTTACCAACAATCGGCAAAGGACAACAATTGCTGCAAAATAAAGAGCGCAAGATGAGCGCGACTCTTCTTCCATGCATTTGTTAATTTGTGCGTTTGCTTGCGCTACTGCCGCAACTAAGTCAACAACTTAAGTTTATGCCATAGAGGGACATCACATTTTGCCAAAGACTATAACGGTATCATAGTGACGAAAGTTTTCATGTTTTTTTTTAATGTTCTTTCGGAGAGAATATCGATTCCGCTCGAACATAGCGTTTTCTTACTACTTTTCTCTTTCAAAAAAATACCACCGTGCGCTCTCAGGCTCCGCCCCCTTCGTTGCGCCAACAATTTATGAGCGCCGTGAGTGGTAACCGCTTAGCTTGTCATTGAATGCTTTCGTCTTTTGACGTAATTGCCAGGCAACAGCAGCTCTGAATTGCCCCAATTTGCACCCGCCCGCCGCATCGCAACCGCTTGCCAACCACTAGCAAAGAGCACACACACACACACAGCTCCAAATAAGCGCTTAAGTATGCTCGGTGCACTGGGCCATGCGCTAACCACTTTGTGGGACAGACGGCGCTCCGCGTTGCTTCGACACATATTTGTATTTATTTGCATCTGGAACGTGCAACATGCCGCATGCAGTAAATTGTGGCACTTGCTTATGAGATGCATGTCAAGTAGTCAGCTACATTCGAGGGAGACACACGACCACACACACACACAAGTACGTTCCAAGCTCGATGAGTGACACGCTGCGGCAGTGCGGTACGTGTAACCTATAATTTGTTGCTGTCTGCCTGCCTGCATGCATGCTCCGATTAGCATGTCGCATATTCATAACTACATCAGCCGGCCTACGTGTGTGTATGTGCATGTATGTGTGTAGTTGTGCATGCAAATCGCCCAAGTGCTGCCACACGACTATTGATTGACGCGCAGAGTGAATGCCACTGTCATTGCGCCACAGTTGCCTGATTGTTTCAATTTGGAACGCAAAGCGACTACTAAACAATTCCTACAATACCCAGGACATTACAATGCACAAGTATATACACAGCGTTATGTGCCCTTATGGAACGAACTGCTGCCAATTAAATCGAAATACTCCACTTGGGTTCACCTTGGCTCTCATTTTTTCGATCTTTCTACAGAGACTTCTACACTCTTGCGTTTTATGTTGTTGTAGTTATTTTTTTTTTGAAGACAAAGAAAAATAAAATCCAAATGGCTGAGTTTGTCTCTGTGAGCAACCAGCATATTCCTTTGAGGAGACCACAGCAGTCGTCTTCAGATGCGCCCACAGACCGCAGACAATAGAGGACGGACGACAGACAAGCGGCTCATGGCAATCAGCAATCGCTCCGCAAGTTAAAAAGTTTAAGTTTAATTAATGTTTAGTACATCTGCTTTTAATTATCTTTTCCGTTGCCCACACACACACACACGTGTCAGTTGTTTCTTCATACGCTAAACGTATGTGTGTGCGTGTGCATGTGGAGCATTGAGCACTTAAGTACGAGCAACAACTGACAAACAAACCAGTTTACTGCTGCGCAATGTGCCACAAAAATAGTAACAAGGTTAATGTGGTTTGTCTTTTCGCTTTCATGTCCCGCAACTCGAAGGTTTAGTGGCTTGGCAAATCGGCTTTGCTGCCGCCGAAACTGAGCTTTTTGCTGTGCATTCATATTTTTATGCAATTCACTATCATTTGTGGTATTTATTTCGATGAGCATAAATTCTATTTTTCTTTTAATTAGAACACAAAATAATAAGACCTAGCGCTTATGAGTTGAACGTGAGTTCATTAGGGACATTGCGGTGAACCTTTATCTAGGATAATGAGAAAATAATAGAAAGGCCGAACAAAGAGATTGACAGCCTCTGTCTCTACTACTATCACGTTTTGAACTGCAAAACAGCTAATTGTATGATAATAAATAATGACGCATGCTGAAGTGCAAAAAACGGGTTTCTCATTCTGGTTTTTCAGAATTTCAGAACACCTTTTCAAGTAATTTAATACTAACGTGATATTTTTATTAAGTATTTGAATATCAGAAATCCAACTTCTATTTCGACCTCTTCAACAGAGATAGAAAGGCAAGACGGATGCGTATTCTCTCTTTCAGTGAAAGCTGGTTCTATTTTAGACAATTTTATCGGCTACGTAACAGCGTCTACACCAAAATACTTGAAATTTCATAGCTAACAAAAAGTAATTTCTTTCTCGACATAACTAAAATCTTTAAATCGCTATCATACCCAACTTATTTGGAAATACTACTATCGAATGAACAGTGCTTGGCCGTATATAAATCTGGGTATGTTGCGACAACGATTAGAAGATTGCCGCAGCAGCAAAATAACCACGCTGACTCGGATATGTTATACGTATGGATTCCTAAAGCACTTAACTTGTGCCATGGAAGGGTAAGATTAAAAAACCTTCTGCGCATGGGAAAGTTTAAATAAATCAATAGCTTAAAGAACTTCGGAAGAAGAATAAAAATAAGCCGTCATATGAAAACAAATCTCATATACAAAATGTCAAATAACGATGCCATCGGAGTTAGAGAGTTGTTCGCTTGTCATTTGAGGCTATTAGTATATAAATTTTATGTGATTTTTGTAACAAAATGCATAAGCGTTGCCACACAAACATTGTTAAAAAAAATGCTGAAATAAATCGCTATTGCAATCATTCACACTCTAGATATAAACACACACATATACAGCATCTGCCAGTTTACATAAGTGCTTACCCCACCATGTGGAGTAATTTAAATTGAAATTGAACGTGATTTATTATCTTTTCGGTGAGGCAAAAACAAAAACAGCTGAAAAAAAACAAAGCAAAGCAAAGTGGAGCAAAAATGTTTTGCAAAAAAACACGAAGATTAATTAGATTTTTCGTCTGCACGCAGCATCGACACATCGCCAAATCGGCAGTTGATAGTCGAGAGCAGCGAAAACGCCGCAAACGCCTAACAAAAGCACCCACGATGCATCGCCGTCGGTGGCAGCAGCGCCGAAAATGTATAGTCCGTCAATCAAGGCGCGGAGAGATATAAAATTTATGGGCCGCACAGAACTTTGCAATTGTTTGCGGTTTGTTGCACATTACACGCCGAGCTTCACTGCACTTGCATCCAAAGAAATCATGGAAAATGCGAATTTTCGCAAAAACTTCGGTAACATTTAACAGCGCTGCAGCGCGAAGTCACGAAGCGAACTCACACGTTTTCAGCGTTTGCGTGTTTTGTACTCCTCTTATTGCGTTTGTTTACGTTGTCGTAAATATCTCGTTGCTCATAATATGCAACAATTACAAATTTTCACCTCATATAATTTGCACATTAAATTCAGGCCAAAACACAAATAACATACCTACAATGCATGTTGGCGCGTGGTGTGCGCGAAGAACCCCGTAGGAAAACACGAGCACTCACAAGCGTGAATTGCGCATATCTGTGTATAACATAAAGAAAATAATAACGGTGTTGTTACATATATAAAAAGTCATTTATGCGCAATAAAGCGAAACCTCCTAACTTCAGCCGAAGCTTTTCCCTGCGATAACGCACAGATGTGTCTATAAAACGGTATTTATAAGGCTTAGTTCGCAATAACGCACGAGTTCCAAATTTATGTGAATTTCTTTTCACGCGTGCAGACATGCACAAGTGTATGGGTGAGTGTACTTTGCGTCGCTTCGTGGAGTTTGTATGCCGCTTGTGTACTTCTACGCTCTTAAAATTTAACCGAATTCAGCTTTTGGCTTATTTAATGCCCACATTAGCATTACGTAGCATTTCCAATGTTCTTTGGGTAATTTGCCTTTTGCTTCTTATGTGATTCCAATATGCAATAAAATCTTTGGCGTAACCTCACTTGTACTTAAGAAAGCAAACATATGTGGGTGATTTCGAAATTTGAGACACGAATTTTATTTCAAATTCCATTTGCTGTCTTTTTGAATAATATTTTATTGAAAACTGGTTGGCTCGTCCTAATGAGAAAAAAATGCGAATTACTTTTACCTTGTTATGAGGGTAAGAGATTTGCACTTATAGATTAGCTCGTCAGGTCGACAGGTTGCTAGTTGGTTGGGATGTACTAGTCGATTTTTAGAACCTTGATATTTCATTTGTCATATTTTTCAATCTTCTCAAGCTTTGTTCTGTTCAGCAAACCATTGCAATTGCATTGTTAGCATTGTTTTCGAAAAATATTGCGATTTAATTTTCAAATGCTTGAAATGAGTAGTTCTAAATTAATTTACATACATACATACATATGCAATACATACGAATATGCATCTAATATGCGCAAATGGATTGCTATTCGGATTCACTTAACTAAGGCTTTATTGCAAGTGCTTTTGACATTTCATCTGAAATTTAATTAATTCTGCGGCCAGCAAAAACAAAAGGGTTTGTAATCCAAACTCAATTCCAATGTGAATTATGCTCGCAGTTATTTGCAAAAAAAGAACAAAAAAATATTTAAATTAATTTAACTGCCTTGTAAACTGAAAACTTTCAATCAAAACTGATTTAAAATTCAAGAAATGCTCTAGCAATTTATTCATAAATATGAATATTACAAATTCGCAGAATCAAATAAAGCAAAAGCCAACAAAGGCATCTGTCAATCCTTTGGGTATCGAGGCGTTTGCTGCCTTTGTCAGAATTCCCACAATAACTCCGCCTGTCCTCTCAAGCCGCCTTTTCCGTCGGGCCTGCATGCCACACAGCCTCAGGGACAACAAGGCATCAATGTGCGAGCTAGAGGAATTATATATGTATGTATTTACGGACAGACATGCAACATGTTTATTTGTGGCATGTAGTTTTTCATGTTCAACGGACATATTGTAATGATTTCACTTACGGTTCAATATCGGTTTTTATGCATCATGCAACACTTGTACAGACACACGAGTATGTGCTGCCAAAAGGTTGGACATCATTCGAAGAAAAAATTCTCTTAATTTTATAAAATAATAATCACTGCCTCTTGCCCACTTTTGGCCATGACTCCACAATCTGCTTTGTCTAATGATTGTGTTTAGCTGGAAGTGGATTAAGAATTTTATTTCAATGAGAATGCAATAAGTTTGTCCGCAAGCCACAACTGAGCCGAACCCAAGCTTTTACTTGATACTTTCATATTCATTGGACCGAAATCCAAATAAGCTCTTATTTCTGAGAATACTTTGTAACAAATATTATATTATACTTTTATTGTTTTTAGTGGCACTTTTTACTGAATTTATACACGCCTCCTCCAAAGCAAATACACATAACATTTTCTCATGTTGCAAGCATATTCATCCTAATTAAAAATAATGACTCTTATCGCTGCATTTGCTCGCGTAGGCGGCCGCAAGGCTAAAAATAGCGACGATACCATTTATCTTTCGAAAGCCCCTCATTATTCTATGCAGCGCTCTTGCAGTGCTAAGCGACTGATTTGCCAGCGATTTACTTGGTTTGCCACACGCACTATGTCATTTCACACACGCGCACACATACAGCGACACATGTGAGTTCAAAAAAACGCCTCCGCTTACTTGCGTTACCCTTTGATTCTGAAGTGCCTGGAGTGTCCTTTTACAACTAACGGTTTGTTTCTTTGCACGTTGTGCCGCTTACGTATTGCCGCTGATTTCATTCACACAACCAATTTGAATGAAAAGTTTGTGCGGTGCATTCGAGACAGAGATGTCTTACGCACGATTACTTGCCATCAGTTACGCCCATGTATCGAATTGCCGTTCAATGACGCTGCTTCGCTTCAGATTTCCAAATTTTCCGTCTACGAATATGTTTATACGACATACAAGGCGTTTGCATGCTTTCAATCTTTTTTTGTTGTGTTCCGAGATTCTTGCGTTCAAAGCATTCAGCCTCAACGTGCTATCAGCAAATCTGAGATACGACGCACAATTGTAAAGCCATCTAATCCAATTTGTATTTGCATTCTCATATTTAAATACGTTCTCGCTCATTGTGGGTGCCACGCTTTGTGCGCCTCTTCGCTCCTTAGTAACCGCTATTAAATGAGTTAAATAAGCCTAAGTTTAATAATGACCATCCTAATATACATACTAACATGTACGAACAAAAAAATTTCTTTAAATTTACAATAAAATTTTTGTTGCACACACACAAGCACCTGCGGTAGTTGCGCGTTGACATGAAGCGCTTAAAGCTTTTGCATAATTTTTATAACTGTTTATTGCATTCCGGTGCAGTTGTGCAGAGCGGCAGCATCAACTATATATATGTATATGAATAGACAAATGTAGCTCCTCCTTTAGGTACGCGCGCGTGTGTGTGCCATCCTCGCAACTTGTTGCCACACATTGTGTCCTTGTATTGTTGCAAAAGAGTTACTTGCAACGCTCATTTTCTGTTGCAACTTTAATAGTTGTTCGTTCGCCGCCTTGCGCGCTCCCCACAGCCTCGCATGCCCTGCCAATACTCATATTTGGTACATACAAAGTGTGCCATTATACCGATGTCTTCTACATTTATTCTTTATTCCCCAACTATATTTGCATATTTTTCGATTTTCTCTCTCCTTTTTTTGAAAGTTTGCCCGCCAGTTTCCAGCTGTTTTATTGCTCCATCATTAAAATATTTTATGAAATACTCTCTCTATGCAACTCTACATGCGCTGCTCGCCCATCCACGTACATTTTCTGATTGAAGTTTTCAAATATTTAATTCTATTGACTTTGTGAGTAATTCCGGCTGAAAGTTTTCGAATTAAATCAAAGCTTACGCAGCGCTCTCGCATTCTGCGCCCCATTGCGCTCGAAGTGCCGGCGGCGTACGCTGCCGAGTCGGTAATAAAATATGCAAAAGGGAATTTATGTGAATTATTAAGAATGGGAACATGCCTTACATGTCTGCGGGACGTGGTTTTCGTAGTTAATATTAGTAGTTGCTAAAGCCATGGATCATTTTGGTCGCCTATCAAGCAACTTTATTTTCGTTTCTAGGAATATACTTAACTTATTCACAACTCTTTTGCGCTGACAGAAATCACAAGTCAAATTAAAAGCGATATGAATGGTCATTTTCAAGCTTTTTAGCACCACTTCAAGCGCATGAAAGGCAGGAGCCGGAAACGAATCTAATATTTCAAGTGGACACTTAAATCCGATACAAATCGCTTACAAATTTTGAATTTATAATGGGCAAATCCAGCGCTTGCAACAAATGCTACAATGCCCACACTTTCCCTTACCCGAACCAGAGTTCATGTGGGCAAATGAAAATGCAGTAAGTGTGTGCATGTGGCCAGCTAGTTATGCATTCATGAAGTTAGCACCAAAATGCTGTTAAAAACTGCTAAATTGCATAGAGAGCTGGTAACGTGCAAAGCGTACAGGAACAACATGGTGCCCATATTTCGCTTTCAAGTGGCTGGCGGATAACTCGGAGATATTCAACTTTTTCAAATCGGACCTCGGTGCTCGCCTCTTATCCACCTGCTTTGCTCATTCATATGTATTAGTGATTATTTGCATATGTGCAAGCAGAAGATGGCGAAATTGTGCAGATAAAATAAATCGACTCACCGAAAATTACATAATGCATTTTGCGAAGTTTGCATGTGGCAACGAATCGCATTTCCCTTAAATTGCAATGAATTTTCAGTTTGCGAAAATGCGAAGAATGAAGCAGAAAAATATTCACCGCGCAGTTTTCGTGCTCAAAAGTATTTTCACGAGGAAAATAGTTGAAATAAAGAAGAGAAGGATCTACAAAAAAAAAACAGAAAAGAATAAGCTTCACGCTTTCTCACTCCCTGCAATAACATGTTAGAATGCACATATTTTTCTGGGGAGATAAACTGTCTTTCGATGTGACATCGCAGTCTCTAAATGGGGACGTCAAGCATCCAGCAGCTGTCTAAAATCTGACAATCTAGGAGATGTCACAATCAAGCATCTATATCTTTTAAAATTTCATATTAAAAGACTTTAAATAGCAAGAATCTAAACAGAAGACATGAGAAAATACGTTGAGGTATACTAAAAACAAACAAACTTCATCTCTTGTTATAAATGGTAAATTCATTTAAATTTATAATGCTTGGAGCGATGACATTATAACGACAAAAGCTATGTAAAGCTACTAGTCCCTTCAAGCAGTCCGGCTTTAACCAGGAATTTCAGGCTTTCAGCCAATGCTGGTTTCTGATCGGTTGCTATGTCGAATCGAAACCACATCCAGAAAAAACGTTAATTTTGATTGCACCGCAGCTATAATACCCTTCACAAATACAAAGGCTCCTTACATGAACTTGATTCCGATCGTTCAATTTGTATGACACCTTCATGATATAGTGAACTGATCTGCACAATTTCTGCAGAGAATACATTGTTGCCTTAAACAACAACTCGTGCCCAAATTCGTAAAGATACCTCGTCAAATAAAAAAGTTTCCCATACAAGTACTGGATCCTGATGAGTCGTTCTACCCGCGGTTGCAATGTCCAAACGTATTCTATTGATTCTCGACCATTGGCAACTTTGCTGACCATTTCATGAGGTAGAGATTGGAGTTCTCCAAACTAGAATCTCCAAACGCTATTATCAAACGAAAATTTTCAATTTGAATTGCTGGCCCCCGGCGAATTTCTTAACTAGTTAACAAACATATTTGTATTCGCAGATAAATACATATTTAGGTTACTACAAGTAGTCACCGCTCATAGTCATGCTTTCTTAGACACGGAAAACTGGGAAAACTTGTATGACCCTTTCTGCATGTCTCTTCTACGGTTCTAAATTATTACGAAAATGTCAAAAATTTACCAATCGACAAGTAGAAAGAAAATGTAGCACATTTGCCCATGAGCTGTTAATAGCAAAGTTATCGATAAGTGAAGTTCATAAACATATGGTCGTGGTTCAAATCGCGGTAAATGCAAAACCTTTCACATTCATTTCACTTTCTTCTATTATTCTCATGAATAGTTATAGAAATCAACTTATTTACATAATAGGAGCAAATAATTAAGCAAGATTTACTCCACAAATTTTCATAGCCAAATTACTTTTGAAAAAAGTCTTCATGGATCATTATTTGAAGCATGTATACTTATTACGACACACAGAGAAATTCCATAAATCAAATTCGTTAACGTCATTAACCGAATATTTATTCACATTCACACGCATACACACACCGAAGAATGAACACAATAGAAATTACATAACTTTGGTAATGAGTAATTGCTTTTCAATGCATCGTAATGCGCTATGAAATCCCGATTACCCGACTGCTTGTCGGTTGGTGAATCAAATAAAATTCCATTTTCAAGCAGTGGGTATTGCGAAGAGTTGAATGTGGCAACAACGAGATATACGAACATAACCGGTAAACATGTACATCTATATATATATATATACATATTGTAGACACAGTGATTAAAACAAAGACACAAATAGCACGCCGCGATCTGATTGCGTTTATGCCGATCGTTATAACAATGAGAGCGCCTCAAGTCAAGCAGAGGAGGGGACGCCTCTCGTTGACAATTACTGATCGCATTAAAAATTATCACAATTTTTGTGCTGTGATTTCATCTTTGAAATTGCGTTGGCGCCTATTTCAGCGAATATAAATAAATAGCTAAGTGCTGCTAACGAAATGTCGCTGCCAAGGAAATGACACACGCTTGGTTGCCAACGCCACGGCGACGCCAGAGGGCCAGATCTGGACTTGCATGAATAGCCACAGAAACCGAAAAACGACGAAAAGGTGTGTGTAGAAGCAGAAAGAGACAGACAGAGTGGTCAACAAAATCACATAATGACCAATTGACTACTTTGCAAGCGCCATTGCATGTGCATGTGTGTGTGTGTGTCTGTGAAGTAAGAGTGAATGAGGAAAGTCGTAAAAACTGACGCTCGAATGAATATTGAAAACAACAACGAACGACAGCCCATAATTTTAAGTGCCGCCAATAAATGACCAAGTGATATGTTAAAGAAGAAGACTCTGCCTGCCACACACACAGCCACGCGCGCAACCCACCATCGAGCGCATAAGTGGCTGCTGCTTGCAGCAGGTAATAAAATTTTAATGTCAAAATCGCATGTAGTTCAAGGCCACGCGCTGACGGCATCTCAACCGGCCGGTGAATGTATTACAAGTAGCTCTGTAAATGCAGCATCGCCAAGCGCAAGTGACGCTTGTGTGCATGCGAATGCATGACACGGCGCAAGCTTAGTCAATTCGTAGAGTTAACATGCTCAAAAAGTCAGTCAAAAGCAATTATTTCCACTCAAAACATAATTGGTATCGTTTTTCTATGCAGTCTCAATACATATCAAATCACTAACCAATAACGAACTCAGCCAAAATCTCTACAATTGTCGACAAACTAAAAGTTTTCTAAGCGAATTTCGCGCTGAAAAGCTTGTTGACACTGTCTGGTCGCTATGCAAACAGTTAAATAGGTTTGCGAATTTGAATGAGAATCTTAGACACATTTTTCCTTAACCCGGCACAACGGAGGCAGAGTTGGCTGCTCATTGCCGCGAACAAGAGAAGTAATTGAGTCGAAGACTCTATAAAGTGTTAGCAAACTGTTGAAGCAATTAATGTGTTTTGTGGGTGGATTTAAGCACTTTAGTTACTCGCTGCTATTTATAAATCATTGATGAATGTCAACCCTGAACAAATATTTACGGAGAGTTATAAATTTCGTAACTTTCTTTTCCCTTAAAGATACTGAATAATTAAGTAAAAGCGTTTGAATAGCTTTTAGTTTTAATTAAAATACGTAATAGCCAACAATAAGCGCAAAAAGCATGAAAAGATTGACTGAAATCCACAAAATGTAGCAAGAAGAAACGCCCCAGAAGACTAAATAAGAAGAAGCAGAAGAGGGATGCAAGGGGCAACAAACCTTTTCGGTGTAATTGATACTTTACTTGCACTTAAAAGCTTCTTTTGTGCGCCTTTTGCAAAGCGCATTAAAGCGCAAAGTACGCTGGTGCTCTTATTTTTCCAAGTACTACTGTCAGTGTCAAGAAGCACTGAAAAAGCAGTCAAGCGTCTCAATTACATTGGCGTACGCTTCAATCCTTCAAGGCATTGTTGCAATCCTTTTTGTGCCACATACAAAACAGCAATGAGTGCAACACAAAAACCATATTGTTATTTCTACATAAATTTCCAACACTCGAGTTCGTGCAGTGTCAGTGGCCTTATAAGGGTGCAAGCAATGGACGACGCCACCAAACTCTGCATAAGCAATGGCAGAATGAGAAAGTGGCAACAATTTCATTTTAGTCGCGTCCCACGCAAATTGTCACTGCAGAAACCATAGAAGAGAGAAATAATGGAAGCATCTTTAATTAACTAGTGTCCATATAGTCTGCCTCAGAGCAACGGCATCATTCCCAAAACAATCTTGTCGCTGCAAGAGGCGTCTACTACACTCTCAATCTCGAGCTGATTCATAGCATTTTTCCCATTCGATTTTAAGGCATGCGGCCAGCACAAACGAGGTCAGGTAATTTGCAAATTGGTCAATAAAGAAGACAAATCACACAAAAAAAAAGAAAAAAGTAATACTTATAATCAAATAGTTTATTCGCCATTCTTTAATTGGAGAAATTCTGCATACTGAGGGACACTCATTTTCCTGCCGGTCACGTTAGGTGTTTTATTAATTGCTCTACTTGTTTGTTGTTGCAATAATCTGCAGTTAACTGTACGTGCGCGTGTCTCAATGTTTGTGTTTGTTGTCGCATTCATTCGCTTCGCTCACTCCATTCTGATTTCCATTCGCAGAACCTCGATGTTTCGAATCTACATATTTATGCAGACAGTTGAATGTGTCGCTGGCGTCGCCTGCGTCAGGGGCGTATACGTGATTTCCATTCAAGCGACGCTTGATGAATTGTGCAGAGCTTTACGATTTCTGCTTTATTGCTTGAGTTGCTCACTGATTAAATGCAAATTTTGCTGCCATTGCGGTTGTTTATTTTTCGCACCTTTCTAAATGCTCTGCGTTCATTGTACTCCATTCCGCTCTGCGCGCTTCTTTACTCGCGGCGAAATTGACAGATTTCTCCATATATGATCGATTAACGGCATTTCGTGTGCGCTAAACTTTATTTGTATGCGTTTGCATTTGTTAACGTTGCGTACGCGAGTTTTTGCTTTATTTTTTAGTAATGAGCTAAAATTCAACATATTTGATATTCCAGTCAACGACCGCATGGGCACTCTTCAATGTAACATTTGAACAAACTTTTTAAATAAATCGAAATTCATGTATTTCGAACCAAGCGAAAGTGTACTCTCGGCGCTTTGTGAAAGTAAACAGTTCGAAATTAGAATACTACGAAATTGGTGAATGCCGCTTTTGATTTTTGAAGTTTCACGACAATAAACCCAAAAACCTACTTATCACCAGTACGCAACTTGCCAGGAATCATGGTGGCAAGCGATCTCAAAGGACATTTTCCTTCTAATGCTGCAACGCTACTCTATACCTTGAGTAGACGTATCTTCACCATTTACCGACTTCAACGAAACTGTTTCAAGGAGTTGGGTCTAAGGTAGAGTACCTCTTCATAACAGTACTAAACATAGGAAGGGTTCGGAGCACAAATAAGGACGTAAAAGCTACGAAAGCGTTGCGAATAAATGAACAATTCGAGAAAGAGTGTTTCACTTTAAAAATTGGTATTTTCTTAACCCATGTCTGAGTCTTTTTTGAGAACAGACATTTTGTTTTGAATTATGCAAAATTTTTATACAACAAACTCAATGTTTTTCTATAGAAATCTATGAATTCCGTGGCAGTCATTTTCCCATCAACTGTGACGAGGCTATTAAAAACATCGGAGTAAAATATATGTGTATGTAGCATGATCATGAATTCCACTACAGCACAACATTTTACTCAAATTGGTAAAGTTTTCGCTGCAAAAGCGAAAATAGTGAAATAAAAGTTGTCATTAAATAAATTCTTCTCGAGCGAGCACTAAACTATTTAAAACAGCGGCGTTGAAAGCGTTCGCCTATTTCACAGGCGCACACCTGCAGCATAGTGCCGTTGCAGATGCTTATAAGCACACTTTCGAGCCAATTATGTAACAAAAATTGAATTACAAAATATGAGTTTCGCATTTTATGGATGTAAATGTGCATAACAACACAACCAACAACAGCAAGAACAGCCACAAAGGCAACAATAAAGTGTGGCGAATTGACAAACTCGCTAACTTGTAAAGTGATGAAAATGCGAACTGGTAGAATGGCAAATTGTGCCAAACCGACGATGCGGGCAGAGTGGCAGACGAAAAAGCAACGTAATGCGAAAATTCCAAAAGTTTTGAAGTGATGTGCGAGTAGAGCAATAACTACCGCCAATGCCTTTCTTGCGTCCTTGTGTGAGTGTGTATGTGTTAGTGTCGCAACTAAAGTTGGCGTACCATAACTATGATTTTGACACCAATGCTGTGGCTGTCTCCACAGGTTTCCATAGAATGGTGTCAACAGACCCATTTTTCGCACTGCAAAGGGCTTGAAAAGCGAAGTGGCACAACGGAGCTAAGGCAAAAATGGAGAACGAAAATTTTGCAACAAAAGAAGTGCATGTAATTGTGGCATGCTCTCTGCCAGCAGTACACAATCACAACAACAACAACCACTCAACTAAAAGGGTATACAAAGGCGTTGATTGTAGCGTAATACTGGCGCACTGTGCGTGCGAAATGGCTAATTTACCGTGCAACTTTGAGTTATTCAATGGCAGCCGTCATCTGGAGCAACAAAACAGCGTTAGCAATAACAATAAAAGCAGCATAATTGGCCCACTCTTCTAGCCACGAGCAGCAGTCTTAAGGCCGCACTCAGTCGTATACACACACACACACATACATATACATTATGTACTATTTAATCTGCATAGGGTACCACTTTTCACATAAACAATGCGAACTCACTCCGTTGCTTTGCTAACCGCTGAACGGCTGCTAAAACTCATGAAAGACCTCAAATTTTGCACTCAGATTTCCTTTTATGTTTTGTCTAAACGTACCTAATCGGTTGTAATACTATTCGTAGCTAAGCGAACTAGAAATCGAGCTCTTTGTTCTTTTCTCTCTTTAATTCTTTCCGCTTTTCGTTTTGTTTTTGCAGGTGGAGAACCGCGCGCTACGCCTACGCGAAGTGGCCACCGCTATGCAGCAGTACCAGGACGAGCCCTTCCCCTCGGCCGCCTCCGCGCACGATGGCAGTAGCAGTCAGAGTTTTGGAGGCGCCGCACATGACATCAATAGGCTGCACCCGCTAGGCGTTGGCATTAATGAGGGCACCGATGAAGAACCCGGCGGCGGTGGTGGAGGTAACATTATAATTATCGGCACTGGACCCGCTTTTCAATCGCGCATCGGTGGACTCGGCCTGCATGCATATGGCGCGGCGGGTGGCGCAGCAGACCTGGACCAGGACACACTGCGGCTAAATGGCAATAGTGTGTTCAGCAGTAGTAGTGGTGCAGGCGGCGCAGCTGTGGTGGCCAGCGCCACCGGTGCACATGGCTCGCTGACAGCGTCGAATGGTCGCAGCGCTGGCGACTGGGAGTACTTCGACGAGGCGGGCTACATAAAGGGCGGTGCGCTGCGTACCGGCGAGGATCCCTACATACGTAATCGTTTCAACCAGGAGGCCAGTGACGCGCTGCCGAGCAATCGCGATATTCCAGATACCCGAAATCCAATGTAAGTAGGAAATTAATAATTATAGGTTATACATTTTCAATATATGAAACACGGTATTTAATTTAAGAGCTATGGAATATGAAGGGATTTAAAATTTTGGTGTACTACAATCACAAACTATATATGCTCGTAAATATACTGCTTGTGGAGTCGATTGGAATGTGATAATTTTCCACTTTGGCACCCAATCATTTATATGTAGGGCTGCGTTTATGTTAAAAATAGACGGTAAAAGGGAAATAGGACAAATGTGTAATGACGTGTGACACTAACAAGCCGTGGCTCAGCGGCGGGTGTGGCATGTTGGGCAAACAAAAAGCTTATTGAGCAAGCTGATTGTATCAAGCGCAGCCTGGTGAGCCCCTCAACTGCTCCTCGGCATGGCAATGCCTCACGAAACGCTTGCCACTAATATTCAGCAAAATGTGTTAGAGGCGGGTTAAAGGCGCTCATAGCGCTGCAAATTGTTGGCATAGATAGTTCGAGCAAAAACCTGTGTGCAACAACATATACAAAGCATATAAGTGCTACATTGTTGTTATGTTGACAAGGAAAACAAAACAACAAACAGCACAGTAGTTTATTATGGAAATAGAAAGGTTGCTTGCATGCTTGCCATGCAACGCTCTCCGGCTTAAGCTTGCCACATATGCTGACACACAATTAAAATGACAAGGCAAAGCACATGCACCGTTCCTATATAAATATGTACACACACACACACACACCTAAGTAGCACATGTACGCAGGACTTTCTATAGTTGCATAGCTGAGGATAACTGTAAACAGTGCGCTCGGATTGAGGCCAAAACGAGGTTGACTGCCGCCGTCAAGTGTCTGAACGCAATGCAGAGAATGCCAGCGTAGCCAATGAAGCAAGCGAGCGTAAGTGTGTGTTGTATACTACAATTTAAACAATCCCCGCTCGAACAACTCTCTTTAGTCTTTGGTTACAGGCAAGATGACAAATTTCCGAAAATTTGTTTCTTAATTGCTCGCCACAAGCAAAAGCCAATATGAACAATTTCTAATTTGGAGTTAATAAAATAGTCAAACGCCAAAATTGCTTTTCTCTGATTAAGAGTTATTTCGTTATTTCGTGGTTTTGGGTCAAAGTTTTCACTTGTATTTATTTTCATTTTCAAATTTCCGAAAATTAAAAGAATTACATGTTTTATTATTAGCTTTACATATAAATGCTACAAAATATATATGCATTCTGATCATACCGCTCAGATTCCATTTCTCACAACTGACAAATGGTTTTCATTCTATTTCTAACCCATTTAAAGGTCTGTGAGGTAAGCGTATGTATATCAGCCATCATGAGGTATAATAATATGCCACTGTTTAGACTTAGCTCTTACTCTTCTAGAATGTATGTACATACATACATTCCCTAAATGTTGAGAGTAGTATTTTATATACTACATGTTACTATATGTTACCCTAGACAATTTTGCATGAATGTTTCTCATACGACATGACAACCTTATGCCAGGATCACACAACCAGCTAACCTAAATTGCTAAAAATGTTTTTATAAATTTAAAAATGCCTCAGTTTACTAAAACCAAACTCTCTTGACTTATTTTCTATCAATTTCTTGACCTCTTTATGTCAGCATACCATCAATCATACACTATATACCCACTATCTTTGCAAACAAGCTGATATATGCCTAGACACAAACAAAATCTTTCTCTTAGAGAAAATCAATAAGTCTTTTGCTCAAAATGCACATACACATACTTATACTGCCACGCAAGAGAGGAAATTGAAGCGCCGCCAGATAAGATCTTTAATTTGAACTAACGAACTTTCATGGCTCGCTTCGTTAAGTGTTTCCGGCGAGCGAGCGGAAATTGCAATGCATTTTATTTCGACCAAAGAAGACCTCTACGCTTTTAGGCGCAAGCGAACAAGCTTTAAGATGTTGCGGTCTCGCACATATTTGGCCTTACTTAAGCTCTGCGTTGCAAGATGATAATTTCGATTAGCTGGGAGTACAAGTCTATAATTATATTTGAGTTTGCATTTGTGTATGTGTATATATCACACATTTACTGCAACTGTTGCCTGTTTGCCGATAGAAAGAGTGCAAGCGGCCTTACCAAAGCGAATTTCATTAGTTTCTAACACACACACACACATTGTGGTGAAAGCTGAAACAGCTTACGAGTTTGATGACAACGAATGGAAGTTCCATTGATTCTTTACGAAGAATTTCATGCTACTACTCTCACTTCAGTGCGCATATACACACACACACACACACACACACACACACCCAAGAGCAAGTGCTTGCATATGTGCGAGTTCATTGGCGAACAGGCTGTATGGATATGTGGATAGAGGGTCCATTAAAAGCACATTAGCAGGGATTATTGCTTTAGTGTTGTAGTAATTGATAACAGCTGTCCCAAATAGCAGCCGCAAACCCAGATTTGCCGCCCGAACACACACACGTATGCAAACTGTTAAAGTTAAGATGGTGAACCCCATGCATGCACACACGAAGGGTCCGCCCTTCGGCATGCGGCATGCGTTCACTTGGGAACACATATTCTAACACACCCATAAGTACAACTCTACCGTGCCACAATTTGTAGCCTGTCACAGGGCTTGCTCCATCTCACAGATACACTTAGCACACACATATAAACTCACACACACGCACACATGGCAGCTTACTCACAATCCCGCTCTGCTGAGTGTGCAACTGTCATCGTGTTATTCTGTCGAAACTCTATTTGAAGGCTCGGTGCCCCTTTTCGTTGTCTCCTGCCCCCTTTCTCCCCGACGTGCCTTGTACTTGTTTATTGATTTCGCTTTGGGCTTTTTCGATTTCGATTTCGTCATGACTTTAAAGATTTCGGTTGTCGTTCTTTCCACTGCACATAAACGATTTCCACTCGCCCCATACTTCATGCCGCCAAATCCCATTTCCCCAAACGTTTGGCATCACCACAGAACTACTACAGATTGGCAGTAAAATGTAACAGTAACGGTACTATCGAGACATGCATACAAATTACACGCTCATATATGTTTATGTAAGTGTATTGAATTAACATTGTTGTTGTGCGAGTCCTTTATGCTCCACAAAAGCTAAAAATGAACACAAACAATAGCAAACAAATAAATAAAGCGGGATTTCCTTTCTTTATATTGATTGCGTATAATCTTGTTCACAAAGTATTTGATTTTTCCATACAAAGAGGAGTGCCATTACATAATTACCAAGCACATATAACATTCGCCGCGAATTCGGTCTTTAATTACGCAAAATACTTTATTTCCATTTAATTTCGACTTCAAATTCTGCAAAACCAAATACAACAATGCTTTGATGGGCGAATCTCATCTTATATGTATATAGCGAAACAATTTTCGGCTTAATTTTAATCACTCTTCGTTTCTCCCGACAGGTGTCGCAATAAAAAGTATCGTGAGGACCTGCCGGAGACGAGCGTCATTATAACATTCCACAACGAGGCTCGCTCGACGCTGCTCCGCACAATAGTCAGGTGAGTGAACTGCCGCTAAGCAAGAAGGAATCCTCAAAATTAAATTACAAACGACAAATACCGAAACATACGAGTACAAACAAAGGCGCACAATAAATTATTTCATTTTGAACTTTGCAGTGTGCTAAACCGAAGTCCGGAGCATTTGATTCGGGAGATTATTCTAGTCGACGATTTTAGTGACCACCGTAAGTAGACACACCACTTCACACACCCACGCTACAAACATCCACAAGAGCCTTAATTAAATAGCTGTTCCTCCACATCCCATCACATCTCCTTCTCACCTCCTTTTAATTCGCGAAATTATTATTTTTTTTTTGTATTTGTATTTATGTAGCGGAGGATGGCCTGGAGTTGGCCAAAATCGACAAGGTGCGCATATTACGCAACAAAAAGCGTGAGGGTCTTGTGCGTTCGCGTGTACGTGGCGCAGACGCAGCCGTTGCCGGTGTGCTCACTTTTCTCGACAGTCACGTGGAGTGCAATGAAAAGTGGCTGGAGCCGCTCCTGGAGCGCGTTCGCGAGGACCCGACACGTGTCGTCTGTCCGGTCATCGATGTCATTAGCATGGACAACTTTCAGTATATTGGCGCATCGGCAGACTTGCGTGGTGGCTTCGATTGGAATTTGATTTTCAAATGGGAGTACTTGAGTGCGTCTGACCGAGCAACGCGGCAAAACGATCCGACCACTGCCATACGCACGCCCATGATAGCAGGCGGGCTCTTCGTCATCGACAAGGCGTACTTTAACAAGCTCGGCAAGTATGACATGAAAATGGATGTGTGGGGCGGAGAGAACCTCGAGATCTCCTTCCGCGTGTGGCAGTGTGGCGGCAGCTTGGAGATAATACCCTGCAGTCGGGTGGGACACGTATTCCGCAAACGGCATCCGTATACCTTCCCTGGTGGAAGCGGCAATGTGTTCGCGCGGAACACGAGACGCGCCGCGGAAGTCTGGATGGACGATTACAAGCAGTACTACTACGCTGCAGTTCCGCTAGCTAAGAACATCGCTTATGGCAAGTAAGTGGAGGTGGTGCTTTTAAGGCAGAGGACATCGATGTTTACTTGTAAATTTGCACTTTTCATGTATTTACTTACCCCTTTGCATTTCTCTTTACTCTCTTTTAATCGTTCCCGTTTTTTGCTGCTGCTACTCCTCTGGGTTTCTTCGATTGCATGTGAATGCGCTGCGCTGCCTACAGCATCGAGGACCGATTGGCGCTGAAGGAAAAATTGCAGTGTAAGCCATTCAAGTGGTATCTGGAGAATGTCTATCCTGACCTGCAAGTGCCGGAGTCATTTGAATTCGGTCAATTTAAGCAAGGACTCACCGACTGCTTGGACACCATGGGCAATTTGGTGGATGGCACAGTTGGTAAGTAATCGCCACATCACAACAAATACAAATGAGTGGGTCTGTCGTGAAATTCACCCAAAACTGGGTCCACGTCGCAATTCAGTTGCATTAACACACATGTTTGTAAGCATTTTTTCTGCTGCGCTCTTCTCTTTGGTTAATGAGGGACTTGTGTCAAATATTTTAGCGCATTGCAGTTAATATTATTTTATTGATCTTACATACTTGTATTCCCACCCCCAAGCGAAATCCACTTCCAAATTAAAATTTTCACTGGATGCAAAAAGCGAACTGTTTATATATGAATATATTACGTTCAGAGTTACCAACCACAAATTTTCATAGAGAGCGCTAGCATCTCAGCAAATTAAATTCTCAAGGTATTGAATTAAGTTTAGTACAAGAAGTTGGAATTGAAATTGGAAAGCTGTAACAGTACCGACCATTTCCTCATTCTCAGCCCATTGAAACTGTGAGGTCAAACAAATCAGTCGGTTTTCGATATACAAAATCAATTCAGCATATTTTTTCCGTGAAAAAACTTGCTACAAAGCCTTAGCAGCCATCCGCACACCATCATTTCTTACATAGCCTAATAATTTGTTCATCAATGTACAGTTAATCCGTCAATTTTGCGAGAAACACTGCGCACCTGGCAATCCTATTATCGAATTTGCCGCTGCGTTGCTTTAATTAATTCCGCTCCATTGAGCCGCTGCATTTCGATGTTTCCGGCGACTACAATCAAGCAATGAACTTTCGCTGACAAGCGAGCGCAATCTTTTTTCGATTTTTCTTTTATCTCTGGCAGTGCCCTCCATATCGCTTCTGCTTCAATGATTAAGGAAAAATGTAAATGAAAATGCAAATAGGACAAATAGGATTAAAATTCTCCTTATTTCTTCTTCTTTTTATCGTTCCAAATTCTCGTGCGCATTTCATTACATCAACTGACGCCCTGAACAGGCCTCTTCCAGTGCCACAATACTGGCGGTAATCAAGAGTGGGCCTACACGAAACAGGGCCAAATCAAGCACGACGATCTCTGTCTGACGCTGGTGCAGTTTGCACGCGGCTCCGAAGTGGTGATGAAGGAGTGTGATAGCTCCGAGAATCAGCGCTGGACCCTGCGCGAAGGTGGCTTCTTAAGGCACAATAAACTCAACGTTTGTCTCGACTCACGTGATCAGCACGAGCATGGTGTGACCGCACAGCGCTGCAACTCAGCGTTGGAGACGCAGCGCTGGAAGTTCGTGGCGAACGGCAAGTATGCGTGAGATGAGGCTGCGACAGTCTCAGCGAGGATGACGATGATGACGTTGACGGCGACTTCAGAAACGAAAACGGAAGCGGAAACAGAAACACAGGTGGAAGCAGATGCATCGGATGTGTCGATGAAAGACTAAACGGGGATCTCACTCTTTACACGACTACCTACTCACATATATATATGTATATACACAACCACAGCTAACACGACTGCAGGAACTATTGCTACAACAATAACTGCTGCCACCAATTAAAGCAAAAGATTAAGTACTGGCGCGGAGCGTTTAGCCAAACCGCCACAAATACATACACTCTCACACTGACCACTACGAGAAGGCCAAACGAAAGGACATTAAGTAATCAAACGGACAGTCGGCTACCAATTAAATAGAGCTTCAAGGCTTGCCAAGGGTTGGGGGAACGATAAGTACACACGAGGGTAATGATCATTTTCTGACTACTCAAGTAATGAAGAATAGTAAGCGGATACAATTAAGCGTAAACGAGTAAACAAGAGCAAGAGTGATATTAAAAAATTAATGGATCATTGGCACAGCAGCTATCAGCATACAAGGCAAATGCAGAAGGAAGAGAGGAATAACAACGGCTACAGATGCCAACTGCCACATAAACTTGTATGAAGATGAACATTTGTTAGTTAAATTTACACGAGACGTGGGGGAAGAGGAGGCAAGGTCTCGCAACACGACGATCTGGCAGCCAGCACTGCCGACAGCTGGCTTATTTATGAAACATAAATTCAGTCGAGGTAGTCACGCTGTTGCATGCAACGTGGACGATAACAAGTAATTTCGAAAAAGTGAGGTACTTTAGAGTTGTTGAGGTGGAATTAAATATTTAGACTGATTTTTTTATGTTTCTTAACCATAAAGTTTCCTTCATGAATTTACACTGCGCACTTTTTGCATTCCAAATGACAAGCAATTTATTTTCGATTGCAACGCACCCTCTCTACAACTTGAAAAACACATTCTACACACTCACACACGCACATCAGTTCAAAAATAACGCTCCATCACACACCACTACAAATTAATATAGATATACCTGAAAGTCGCCCTGACTTTTGGACAGAGAAAAACTCTTTGCAAACTGCTTTTCTAAATTTCGAATTCTTCTCACAGTTATTGTCATTGTTGTTGCACTGCAGTAACATTCTTTTCACCTCGTCCACCTGCCACTTGCTTCCTTGCTGGTATATGTGCCCTTCCACAAATCCACAACGTCAATTATCCAAATTGATACATCGTTTGGGTTTCTAAGAAAATTGTTGTTCAAAATGTTATTGCTTTTTAGTTTAATCTTACACTCACACCAGCTCACGAATAATCCCATCATACAAACCAACAACATAAAAAAATTTAAATAAAATGATAGAAAAAACGTTACCAAAAGTTTAAAGTAAAAGTGTTGAAGAGAAACAAAGATTTGTCACTAGATAAGCATCAATTAATTGCAGATTATATTTGAGAATGTATTGTAAATAAAACATAATTATTTTAAATAAATGTTATTTATATTGAGAAATGAAAACTATTGAATAAATGAAAAAGCGAGCTGTTTAGTTATGAAATACAATTTTAAGTAAATAAGACTTAGTTAATATTAAAAAATTATTGAACACAAAAGTAAAACCTATAAAAATAATTGAAAAAAGTAAATGAAATCTGCATACGTGTATTTGTGCTTACCACTATATATGTATGTATATGTATATGTAAGCTAAGGCTCATAGCGAAAGCTGAAATGTTAATTGACTAAAATACTAAGCGAAATTCCAGAAAGCGTTAGACAAGTCTAACGGCAATTGAAAGCGAGGAGATGTTTATGTGTATATGCCCATACATAGTGTATGTTTATATGTTTGTAAATTTTACGTGCGTTCATATGTATGCATGTGTGCGCATGCAACACGCTATGAACGATGTGAGCTCCTTTTATAGTTCTACACAATAAGGCGTAAACCAAATATTTCAAAAAAAATATATATATATATATAAAATATAAACATAAGTACATAAAAAATGCATTTTTGCTCAAATAGAACTTTGAAAAAAAAGGATCATAAAAAATTAAGTGTTTTTCTTAAATTCACATGGCATGAAACGTCGTAAGTAATTTTCTATATTTATTCTACCATGCAACTTATAGCATACTGCAAGTATATATTTACTTTCAGCGGTCACAACTGCTGATGTGAGGAAAAATGTTTGCGCCGACGAAACGCCCAATAATCAATAAGACGGCAGTAAATTTTCTTGCATTTTGGTAATTTTTGAAGACATTCAAAGGTATCTGTATCGAAGGTATCCTAAAAATAGTTTTATTAGTATTTGCTGACAAATACATTTTCATAGACGAAATTCCCACAAATTTCATAAACACTCTCGCCACCATTTTACGCTTTGCAGCGTCAAAGAAGCCAGCCACGTCATGCCACTAAAAATTATGCTGCAAGACACCGTCATACTTGTGAATGTCAACAATTTGATTGCAACATGTTATCCTTTATGCTTACAATGTGGGCGTGTCCCCATAAATGGCAGTTGTACAATAAATAATAAAATGTAGCCTACATTTAGGTGCAAACTGCAAGTTATTGAATATACTCAAAGCAATTTCCCTCGTTTGCGGCAAGAAAATTTCATAACAGGAAATATATAATATTAACTCTAACACAGCGCCAAATGTTGTCTCTTTGCTGTCGCACGTCATAAAAGAAGATTAATTTTGCTAGACACAACCTGCTTCACCCCAACATCACCGTCCCCAACGCCGCGGCTCTCAACACTCAGCTGCTAAACCCCGGCTAAGTCGATATTGATGTTAATGGGTTTCTCATATGTAAATGTATATGAAATATAAATATATATATATAAATGTGTAAGTGTGCATATGAGCCGTGATGCTCCAGCATTGCTCCGAAAGTAGGTTAATGGCAAACGTGTGATTTACACCTTTTCAACGCCTCCAGCGAAGGATAGCCCGACCAGTGCTTCAGTTTCTCGGCCATTTCAGGGGCAATGAAAGGGGCGAGAAAGGACTACACAAGTAAGTGATATGTAAACAAGCGAACAGGTGGAAAGTATGGCTCCGCTTTGATGGACACACTGTTGCACAGACTATTCTCGTTTTATAGGATCTGGTAGATTTTTAAGAGCAGAAAATGTATGCACATATATACAAATATATTTTATTAAAGCACTGCCGATTGCCGCTTCTCAGGGTCTCCATATCGCTACCTGCAACGGCCGTCGCCCAAGTAGCACAAGCTCAGTAAGTTCAATTATAATTTCCAAACAATTTCAAATGCCTTCATATGAATTTACGGTTTATGCTTACACCTTCCCACCGACCTATTGAGGTGTGTATACAGATGACTGATAGAGGGTTAAAGCGGTAAAGTAGGTGCATGCTTACGTAAGGATTTTTGTGAGCAACGCACCGCTCCTGAAAGGACGGACTAAATAAAGGTTTAGAATAGAAACAAGAAAAATGCTATCTGTAAAGGTAAGTGGCTCCATGCCGTGAGACCGACGCTGTTGATGTGCTCATTCCTCCTTGTCACTTGACGACATTTCATGCAAAGACGGCAGAAGAGCGTAGAATAGAACTTTTTCGATTAAGCATAACTTACAAACGGCAAGTGCTGCCACAGCAGGAGGCATGTATGAAACAATAAGCCACGAGCCGAGGCGGCCATGCTGGGTTGGTTCTGGCAGAAGCGCAAAGGACACACTTGCCTAAGAGGCAAGCAAAACCGAATTGTCCGTCTGTGTAAAGCATGCCAGCCAGCTAAAGACGAGGCTTGAAACTCGAAAGCACCGTGCGTATGTTATCCGCTTCCGCACTTTTATCTTCCCTGTCGCTGTGTGTAGCTGCATGTGTGCTCATTCGTGGCTGTATGCCGCTCATTCACCCAGTCGAAGAATAGAAAATTACAGCCGCAGAATCGCATAAGTGAATTCACGTTTGTCATTGCCACATGTTGAGGCGCACAGGCGCTTAAATACACCGCTGGCATCCGCATTTCTACCAAAATTCACTCAAAATAACAGAGAGTACTCTCACCAACACATACACAACGGTACTTACAAAAATATCTTCACATTTACAGACCATATATTTACGTACCGGTTCTTATAGGCATAAATAAATATGATATCAAGAGCCACAGCCCCTCTCTACATATGCGTTAAATGGTTTTCGCTCATGAAATATGCAAGACGTAAATGTTTCCATGCTCTTCACCGACTCTACCGGGGACAGGGGATGGCGGTTCATGTGGTTCCACGCTAAATTTATTGATTCTCCTTTTTGTTTAGGGCCTTAAATGATTTTTTCCTCTTGTTTCACGGTGCATACAGTGGCAGGTGCAGCTGCTCAAGGCTCTCACCGTTACTCATGGCACTTATGGTACATACCCCTACAAGAAATTACTGATGGCTTCACCAATACACTCACATTTATTATGTCAAATTCTGTAAACGTCGAAAAGAGACAGCATGCATTTCCATAGAAGTTTCGAGAAGTTCTGAAATACCTACGTAGCTGTTATTTCGTGCGATAAACCAAAAGTGTTGAGTGCGTAAATAACGAAGGAGATTTCAAATATAATATACGTAAGTAATTATTAATTTTAAAATAAAATTATATTTTTACAAAATTTTCATTTTTAGTTAGGCATTTTTAAATTCCGAAATATTCATGAACTGGAGAAATACGTACAGCAGAGCATTTGAGAGGAGCAAGCATGGAATTAAGTGAAAATATCTATTCATAATTTATTATTCAATCATATTTTTGTTATACTCTTCTTTTATATTAATGTATATTATTATAACTATTTTAATTTAAAGTTTGGAATTTATTAAAGAAATAAAAATTATATTGTATTATCTACTGCGCAAAAGAACTTTTCACTTGTGCTAGATTTACAGTCAAAACTGACAAATTGCAGCTATGATGGATATATGGTCAGCAATGACTCAGAAAAAGACATGAGAGTGAGCAGTATAGATATGTAGTGAATCCGTTCCGAATCCCCATGTGTTAAAAAGAAATGCAAACTCACACACATGCATTTGTTAACATCAGTTTTTGCACAAGGCTCTTAAGAGAATGATAGAAACTTTGTTCTGCGTGCTGACAGAAGTTTTCCAGCTGTGACTGTCATATGACCAGTCAGATGACTGTCACTGTTCTTGTAGGGACGTTCACATGCGCTACAGATAGTTAGGTTTGTACATTTGTATGTGTGAGGGATCATGTGTTATCATGTTCTGCAATATGTACCAAATAATATGGAAGAAGTTAGTTCACAAATGTTTACTAAAATCCATCTGCATTCTCAGTCTGTTTTTCCACTCAAGAGCTTTGAAATTCGTATATATCCTAAGGCCATATTTTTCATTTAATTGTGTGCAAAATACGGTAATTACATTTTAATTAGTAAGAGAATATGCCGAAGAATGAATAAATCTAAAAGATCTTACAAATAAATGTTAATACTGTTGTACATGTTATAACGTGCGAGAATAAAGGAGTTCCCTCCGTAACGGATATCTTATCGATAGTCCCACTAATTATTATATTCTTATTTTTATGCACTTCATTCATAGACACAAAATATAGAAGAGGCAGAAATTGCAAGTATAACGTCTTCATAATAATATATTTAACCATTGTTTTTGATAACATTGCACCATGTGGAGTAACCGCCTTAACATAATCCGGTATTAGGTATTTTAAATGACGGCTGCGTGGCACAGACGCTTCAATTTCGGGTTGGAGTCCTCCAGTTCAAGACAGCCACTCTGATGTCAGTTACCTTTCAAGAATTGAAATAATTTATTGTTGCAAATTCAACAGCAATAAAACACGACAAGTAGCCAATTAACCGTTATGTTAACAAGTCTAAGCGGGTTCTCATGTCAGCACTTGAGATTTAATTAGGGCAAAATGATCAAATCGAAACATGCAAGCAATTGTAAATTCAAAAAGCGAATGCATTTAGCAGATGTGTGGGCGGTGGGAAGGTGAAGAGCTTTTGATTGAATCAGTTGTCAAAGCAAAAACAAATACAAATACAAATACACGCTCGCTGCACCTGCGTTGCTGTGCTGCGCCTAGTAACTGAATAAAGTTTGTTGCTGTTGTTGTTTGTTGCAAAACGCGTGCTCCTATAACCGCACATACACACACACATTTGACATATTTTTATGTGTGTGTATGTTTATATGCAACAAATTAACAGGTGCGCATATCTCATACATTTGTAGGCATGAATCTACATACATATGTATGTATAACGGTTTGTAAATACTCTCACGGCACCAGTTGATTACAAATGCTAACGAACTCACAGCAATTTTTTGCAAACAAACACATTTAGCCGGCAGGAACATCCGGCTCCGGCTTCAGCTCAGCCTAGTTAAACGCTTGAATATTAGACCTTGTAGGGAGGCTAAACAATTTAGCAAAAGCTAAATGCAGCTTGCATATATTTAGAATTCGAGTGTTTCAATATTATT